CTCATTTACATATGGGCTCCATCATGGACAAACTGCAGGGGTGTATTTAGCTTATCAAAATGGATTAATGTGACTGCATTTGTGGCTGATAAACAAATATCACTTGAAAGGAGGCTGTGAAGGAACTAAACGAACCAAATTACTCCCAAACATAAACAAAGCACCAGAAACCACTGCCAGATGAATGGGAACACTTCAAATGTGTACACAAACCTTTATGCTGAGTCTAAAACAAAACCTACAAGTAACTCATGCTAAGACACTACCCTCATGTGATGATCCTGGCTCTACAGAAATGTTGGAAAGCTACCAGAATACTCTGAATGTGTCAGTGGGTTTAAATGATCTGTTGAGCAAAATTTGGCAGGAGGGTTATATTCCTCAAACATACTTTAACATTCTCTAATTGATCTGCTGTTAAATTAGGTCTTCAGAATTAATCAGTTAGAATGCCTCTGGAAAAATACTTACCAGTTGAGTTTTATTATGGCCTCAGTAGAAAGAGAGAATAGTTCGTAATTCAATGTCAGAGAGAGAAGGATGTCTATCAATTGTTATTGGAAATATAGATCAAATACAGTTGATTGAAAATCCCCAAAACTTTGCTTTTCTGACCAACAGTCTTTAGCTAGCTTTTCATTTGGAACCCTTGTCATCATCATGATATGGCAAAGTAAATATATGTATTGGTAACATCATGGGTGTAGGAGTTCTGAAAAACTAGGTTTGAATTCAGGCCCTTCTCCTAAAAAACTGTGTGGCTTTTAGCAAGTTATTGAATCCATTTGTGCCTCAGTTTCCTCATTCATTAAGTGGAAATAATAACATTTCCATTACTGGGGGTCTTCTGAGGATAAAATAATAAGTACTTCAAGCACTTAACATATTGTGTGGTACCTGGAAAAGACTTGTTAAATGAGAGAACTAATTATGGTAGGACTTTTTGAGGCAATCTCTGGAAGGGATGTGATTGAGACCCTCTCAACGCATGAGGCCTAGGCAAAAAGAGCCTCTTTCTTAGTGTCAAGGAAGACAATGAAATCAGAAGATAATGAAGTTGGTCTATTAAGGAAAAATGAAGACAGAACTGAGAGTCAAGTTTGTCAATTAGTATGACTCTATAATCCAGGAGCCAAGAAGATTAGAGGGTGATCAGTAACCTGAGAGTAAACAGAAGATAATCTGGAACAATTATTTGGTTGTTCTGGATTATACCATAGTTTTGATGTGGTGTATACTTAGATCCAAAGGCTGGATGGAAAGTTCTCTGTGACGCTCTAAGTTACATATGACTTCATTTTCTATCCCTCTTATTTTCCCACTCAGTTCAGTAAAGGTTGCTTCTATTGAACAGTTGGGGTCCTTACCCTTTTTCACTCTAAAAGTTCACCAGCTTGCTTGCTTCACTTCTATCTGTGCAATGTCTATTATAAAACTCCATCTTGGTCCAGTAGTTTAGTGAATGAGCTTTAGTGTTATGTCCAAACCCTCCTTTTTACTTCCATTTGTTTGACTTTGGTTAAGTGACTTACCATCTCTGAGGCCTTAGTTGACTCATATGTAAAATCAGGAAAATTATAGTTCCAATCATTTAGTAACACATTTCTATTAGTAAAGTGGCCAAAGTGTGAGTATTTCTCTTTTGTACAAAAGTAGTAAACCAGTATAAATGTTATCAATTTTGTCTTAAACCCAGAAAGTAATTTTCAGTCTGGATTTGTAGGACTAAGTTTCAGGTCACCCCAAAAGGTGTCATGAACTCAAATGCCTATCGAGGCCAGGCAAGTGAATGAGTTGCACCATTTAAATAATTTGCCTATAAAACATATAATATAGGTTTTTCCTTTTCTACATTTTCAGATTTTTCAAGAGAATCTGGAAATTTGGTTTTTAATGCAAAGTTTTCTGATTTTTAAATGTTGGCAATTAAGAATTTTAACTTGTAGTAACTCTGAGTAAAAGCCTACTTATGGAGTCTAATATAGTCCATAGGATGCTGATTTCCAAATCTATGCCTTTTATCTTGTGACTAGAGGCCCGGTGCATGGGATTCATGCACTGGTGGGGGGCATGGCCTGTGGGGTTCGGTCCGCTGTGGGAGCGCAGCTCATCCAGGTCAGCCAAGCGGCTGTGGACCTGCCCTCTGAGCAGCTGCTCCCTGGTCCGGCATCTTCGATTGAGTCGGAACACTCACCTCTCCAGTGGACCCGGTTGGGGCCGGGCTCAGGGATAATAGCACTGAGAGGCAGCGGAGTAGGCCTCAGTCCCGCAGCAGCCACAAACCCGCCTCCCAGCCTTCGGGGTCAACTCTGAGCCCGCGGCAGTGCTGTGTAGCCTGTAGGCATCCAGAGGAGGTGGCAGGGAGTGAGGAAGAAGAGGAGCTTGGGGCGAGGAGGTTCCTGCCTGTCCGCCCGGGGTTCGCAATGGGAGCAGCTGCTCATCCTGGTCAACTGAGCAGCACTCCCACTGCGGTAGCACACTGACCACCAGGGGGCAGCTCCTGCATTGAGGGTGTGCCCCTTGGTGGTCAGTGCACATCATAGTTACTGGTCGTAGTGGTCGTTCTGGTCGTTCCGCCGTTTGATCACTGGGCTTTTGTTAGATAAGATAAGCTCTCCAGGGTGCTTTATTAAGAACCCTTAAGAATTGCTTTAAAAGTACGTTTTAATTTTTAAAGAGGCCTCCATTCTTTATATTCTTACTAGAGGCCTGGTGCATGAATTCATGCATAGGTAGGGTCCAGCCAGCCAGCCCTAATTGGGGCCAATCAGGCCCGGCTGGCGCGGGGGTTGGCCGGCTGGCCCACCCCAATCAGAGTGAGATGGGCCTATCAGGGGCGGGGCCAGCCAGGGGGTTGGGTCCGCAGGCAGTTGGCTGCTAACCCCACCCCCTGGTCACACTCCCAGTTGAACTCCCGGTTGGAGGGGACACTTTGCATATTAGCCTTTTATTATATAGGATTCTTATGTTTGGTCTAAAATATTGGATGTCAAAGTATGGGTCATATACCAAAAATGGCTGTGTAGGCTGGTCTGTAATACAACATAGTACAGACACATGAGAGAACCTAGATTAAGCTCCCAGCCAGCATTGGTAGAAATAGGAGGGAATTTTAATGAGAGTACTTTACTGTAAGAAACTCATCCATCCTTGATTGAGCAGCTTAAGGAAGAAGCCATAATTGACAACCCTGTCTTCCTCTTTTGTATACTGCTCTGACAAAGGCCACAGCCTGTCTTGCATTTGGGAGGTGGGACTAAAGATAATATCTAACATCTGGTTCATTCCTCATTCCCTACAGAAAGACATCACTTTACTCTCACTAATAGCTCCTCTGCTGTAGCACAAATGGCATAGATAGCCTATAAATATGGAACGAATCAAAGGATGCTGGATTTTGAATTTTTAGCTTCTTTTTTTGGAGCTGAACATTAGATGATGCAAATAAATGGGGTGGTAGCCATAGTCTCTATCATTCCTTCTGTTGAAGTTCCTAGGCACCTTCACTCTGTGCCTGAGGTTCCTCATCTGTAAATGGAGATTATAGTCATACCAGCAATATTGGATTGTTACATGGGTTAATTTATTTAAGAATTAACATGTAAAGCATTTAGAAGATTCCTTAGCATATGTTAAACATGCAGTGAGTGTTAGCTGTTGCTGCTTATCTTTTGTATGTGCTAAGGTTTATTGTGCTGCTTCAGGGTTTTGACTAACAAAAGAATAAGAATAATTACCTGAAGTGATGCCAATGTCAAGGTCTAGAAAGAAAAGCAAGCACAGATTCAAAGTAAAGAGGCCTAATCCCACATCTATTCCTGTCACCTGAATGAATCTGTTAACCTCTTTGGGTTTTGGTTTCCTCATTTATAAAATAAGAAGAGTAGATTAGATGTCTTCAGAGGTCCATTTGTAAAACTGAATGAGATGATAGAAAAGTTTGGGGGGAAATTTGGAAGAGGTCATGCTGTAACAAAAGATGCTGAGAGGGGTTAATTTTCTACTTGAAAGAACTGAATATGCTTTCAGAATTTTCTTAGGGAAAATTAATGTTCACCATATTGTTCACAGATTTAAACCATAATGCAGTATTTTTCTTAGGCTACCAATTAAATATTGTTTGTCTCCCCCTTCCCCCCCACTCCCCGGAAAGAAAATTAGAATTTTTGTTCCTGCTCAATAGCAAAGAAATGAATATTTAATCTTTTGTCTATATAAGTAGCACAAGGGAATGCCAAGGCCAGGAAGTCTGAGAAACCACACTTGTTAGCGTACATGCTGTAAAATTTAATCCTGTGTTAGTAGGTCAGACATGTGAGAACTGAAAAATGTGCTGTTTTGAATTGTGAATGACAAAGATAATATTTCAGGTCTTTGTTTACAAATCTCATTTATGTAATAGTTGTCTTACCTATCTTTCAAATTGATGTTTGTATATAATTAAACTTTGATTTTAGTACCATATCATATCACAGGATGAGAAAATTAGTTAGGTTGGTGCTTCGGCTAAGTTTAGGGTATATCAGTTGGTTTTTGGATATATACTAATTTTTTTTAGATCAGTGAATAGCAAGTTTAAAAGTTGGGAAGGACCTTATAAGTAGTTTTTCCTAAATTGTACATCTCTGGTGACATCCTAATAATCTATCAAAGGGTTTAGAAAGTATGGTTTGTAACATATTTGCATACAGTTAAGGTTTATGTTCTGAGAATTGAGTATTGAGTATCTTGACATAATTTTGGGCTATAGTTTATAAATAGTTGAAACACTTTATAACAGATGAGCCCTAACTAAGGAAGGTACTAGGATTAGTAATTTTCTGTATTTAAAAAGTGGTCAAAATAACTATAAGTATGCATGGACTATCATGACAGTATGTTGGGGTAAGAAGTTTTCGAAGAGTTGAAAGTTAGTCTCAGTAATGCTGCTAGCAAATGTAATGCTTCTAGTCATGCAAAGAGAGCTTTTTAAACTTTATTTCTATTTTAATATATTTCAGAGACCATCATGCAGACATCAGAGACTGGGTCGGACACAGGTTCGACAGTGACTTTACAGACATCTGTGGCTAGTCAAGCAGCAGTGCCTACACAGGTGGTACAGCAAGTACCAGTACAGCAACAGGTAAGGAGCTGCTGTTGTCAGAGCAGATGCTGTGCCTTTCATTGTGCAGACCCTTCAACATGACTGTGTTCAAAAATGATTTGGGTTGTCCTTTCTGGCACAGAGGGTGCTAAGATAGGCCTAGTTCAGTTCATGGGTTAATTCAGCACATGTTTCTTGAGCACTTCCTGGATATTCTAGATTCTTTTTTGCTAGACTGTAGGGATACCACAGTAAATACTCAAACTATAATTCCTATTCTGAAAGAGCCTCTTAAATCTTAAAGAGAACATTTGTTTCTGACTTGACCACCCTAAGGAGATTTTAGTCTCCTCTTCTCCCCTCGCTGTTCTTTATCACAACTTCCTATTTTTTTCATATTGAAATGTCAGCAATCATGTTTTTCTGTAATTGCCTCACAGCAGTACTTAATAAAGGAGAAGATGGATGTACCTTGTAGGCAGAGATTTTGCCTTTGTGATATTTTAGAAAGTGCCTGGGTGACTGATAAATACTTTTTAATGAAAATTAAATTATCTTAAAGGTCTGGAGGTCTGATTCATTCCATTTAAAAAATTGAGAATGAATTCCTCATCACATGTTTACTACAGGGCTTATTCATACTCGACACTTGGCTTGTTTTGGAAAGATACTGACAAAATAATGCTATTCATGCCAGCTAATAAATAGTTCTGCATGTGGGTTGTGAACACATTGGCCTGTCATTTCTTCTAAAGAGTGGCGAGAAAATAAGTGAGAAAGATTATGTCACAGAGTATGTTGAAATATGAGATTTTCTCATAATTTCTTCGTATCAAGGAGAATCTTTAGCAAATGTTGCTCTTACAGTTATAAACAAGTAGTTAGGGAGAGGGATATTTTGTCTTAAATGATAGATAGAGGGATTCAAGGTTATATTTTTCAAAAGATAGAAGTTGGTGTGGCAGGGAGAGTGCTAGAATCAAGAAGGTTCTTTGAGTCAGGATATTTTGTTTTTAGCACACCCTCTTTCTGGTCTCTATCATACACACACACACACACACACACACACACACACACACACTCTTACACTTACAGTATTAGTTGAACTATATGTAATTGTGATCTATAAAACCAACAGTTTCATACGATTCGATCTATTAATTGTGTTTCTTACCTTTCTTATCTTTATTTTTCACCATTAAAAAATGAGTCTACCCAAAATGGTGTTTTAAAAGCCTCGGGTATTATTGATGTCATCACTAATTTCTGGATGCTGAACATTTTTCAGGAAAAGGTGCTTATGACATGTTGCCCAAAGAGCAAGTGGAGAACAATTAGTTAGGACAGTATTATATAGAATTTTAAAAAGATAACCTATGAATATTAAGCAAATGTTGAACAATTACACTCACTCTGGTTGGATTTTTGTCTCATTTATGGAAGAAGAATGGCCATGGAAGTGTCTATTTCTTACAGTAATGTGGTGGACATCACATTTCTATCCCCAGAAGGTGCCCTCTTGAGACATTGAAATGTCTGTAAGACACATACCTGCCCCTCTCTCCTTGCCTCTCTTTCCTTCCTCCCTTCCTCCCTTCCTCTCTTTCTTCTTCTTAAAAAATCTTTTTATTGAGTTTAGATATCATCAGATAATTACTACAGGTCCTATATAGTAGTTTAAAAAGTCAAATAGTTCAACATGTTATTTAAAAAAATACACAAATAAACAGTCCTCAACCTCCTTCTCATCCCATGTCCCTCTCCTCAGAGGCAACTACTTTTGCCTCTTTCTACCTATTATTTTGATATGTATTTCCATGTTTTCAAAAATAGTACTTATTTTACTGTTTTTTTAAATATATATTTTTATTGATTTCAGAGAGGAAGGGAGAGGGAGAGAGAAATAGAAACATCAATGATGTGAGAAAAATCATTGATCGGCTGGCTGCCTTTTTCATGTCCCCATTGGGGAGCAAGCCTGCAACCCGGTATGTGCCCTGATAGGGAATGGAACCATGACCTCCTCCTGGTTCATAGGTCGACACTCAACCACTGAGCCATGGTGGCTGGGCTATTTTATTTTTGTGTGTGTATTTTAGTATAAAGTATTATCTTATCATATCCCTCTTTCTGGTCCCTAACACACACACACACACACGCACACATGCACACACGCACACACACACATTTTCCATCCCTTAAGCTCCCAGTATAATAGGTTACCTATATGCATTTTTAATCTACAAAAACAACAGTTTCATATGTTTCAACCTAATAGTATATTTTAATTTTGGTAGACCATTACTCAATACTTATATTTCCTTTATATATATGAATGCTATATAAATCTAGCCATATAGTGAGCTGTGTTTATCTTCCTTTCCTACTTGCTGGATTTAATGATCAGATGTTTTCTTAAAGAAGTCTCTCAGCCCTGACCGGTTTGGCTCAGTGGATAGAGCGTCGGCCTGCGGACTCAAGGGTCCCAGGTTCGATTCCGGTCAAAGGCATGTACCTTGGTTGTGGGCACATCCCCAGCGGGGGGTGTGCAGGAGGCAGCTGACCGATGTTTCTCTCTCATCGATGTTTCTAACTCTCTATCCCTCTCCCTTCCTCTCTGTAAAAAATCAATAAAATATATTAAAAAAAAAAAAGAAGTCTCTCAGCATTTTGACTTGCTCCAGTCTGCATTTAGTGCCTGTTGCTCAGCTGGAATCTCCTTTGCCATCATCCTGGTATTTTCTTAGGTTGGCTTTCCTGTTCCCTGGCTCAGTGTCTTAAATTCTTTCTTGATTTGCTTGAGCACAACTTCCAGTAACATCCTAAGAAATGGTAAATGTTTTGAGCTCTTATGTATCTGAGAGAGAATTTATTTATCAGTTGTTTTGTAGTTGAATGGGTATAGAGTTTTGGTTTGGAAATAATTTTTTTTTTCAGAATTTTGAAAGGATTTCCATGGAAAAGTGAAACACTATTCTAATTCCTGATCGTTTGTGATTTATTTTTCTCTCTGAAAGTTTATGGAATGTCTTAAATCCCAGTTTCTTGATATTTATGATGTTGTGTCTTGATGTGGGTATGTTTATACATTGTGTCTTGAAGCTGGAACCTTGATGGTCCTATTCAATCAGAACATTCATGTTCTTCAGTTCTGGCAGATTTTCTTCAGTGTTTTCATTTATGATTAACTCATCACTTCTTCTAACATAGTTGTAATTTTCAAGAGCTTTTTAAAAATTTCCTGTGCCTTTTCATAACATCATATTTTATTTCCTTTTAAGTTGTTGATGTTTTTTCTCTGTTATATAGTCAGATTCAAGCTACTTTTTTTTTTGTCTCTGTCATTCATTTTAGAAGCTTTTCTCAGATAATCTTTGGATGTTTATTCATATTTAAAATTTGAGAGTAAAAGGCTGGTTTGAATGCATGATTAGGTATGGTTGACTTTAGTATATTAGTGTTATATTCTGGGCTTTTTAACTAGGGACCCTCTTATACTGGTCATATTTTTAAAAAAGACTTCTCTCGCTTCTTGCCTAGTGGATGAATGCTTGGCTCCTAGGAGCTGAGTAGGGGAAAACAGTTGCGTGTTTCTTGTACTAATTCACTTAATCCTTCTTTTTCATATGGTATCAACATCACCTCTGCTTAGTCTTCCTCAGAGATTAAATAAAAAATAAAACACACTTGTACCAAAGTTGTGGAAGTCAGTCACCTGTGCTATAGAGTTGATGAAGGGTATCTGCTTGCTTCTTAAATAAAATCACTTTTTATGTTAGATACATATATTGAAAACCAAAAATGAAATTGCTATCAGAAGAAAAAACCAGTATCACCAGCCATAAATAAAAGATTACATATACATACACTTTGTTCATGTCCTCAGAAAAAATATCATGTACAGGTGGACCACACTTTGGAAAACGTTGTATTCTGCCATGTGGCTTGTTCAAAAGGCGTATTTTTCAGTTCCTCAATTTATCTTTTTCCTTTTGGACACTCAAGGCAGGTGATACATCCCCTTATACCAAGCAAAGAGCTGAGAACTCTCATTTTCTTTTTGTCAACAGTGTTTTATATAATGGATTAGTATGATATTTGTCTGGGGATGGCCATTCAGTTGTCCTTCCAGGATTATTTAGAAGCATTGCTTTCTCCTTTGTAATTTTTTCCCCACCAGAACAGTGTTATGTTTGAAGCTCCTTGATGCAGTCCAGTGGTCCCTGTGGTTGTAAATGGTCTGTAACTGATGAGATTAGTGCTACAGTAATTTCTTATTACCCTAACTTGTCTATAATTTTTGTTTTGTTAATGTGCTAATGGCATCTTGAGTGTTTAAACTGTACTAGAATACCTTTAAAATCTTCTAGCTTTTGTCACTGACCCACAATGCGTTTGAAATTATGGCATTGATGTCAAAGGTAGTTACTTCTGTTGATTAAACTTTTCATTGTGTCTTTGCTGTGATCACTTTGATGTAAAGAGAGAGCCTACAGCTTACTTTTTAAAATGTTGAGATTTGTAAAGTTATATGTGTTGGAATATTGAGAAACCAGAACATTTTAAAATCATGATATGTAGTTCTGTTCCTTTATATTCTTAAAGGTTTTCACTTTATAATAAGTACCAAATAAAATGTTGATTCTAAAATTACTCTGTGGTTCTTCATTTATTCTCCATCATCTTAAGAACCAACTTATCACCTTTTCTTAGACAATGATTCAGGAATGGAAAATTGTGAGGAAAGTTTGTATGGTCGAGTTATTTAATACTTTATCAAAATTTCTATTTTTTGCAGTTTTTCATTAATTTGTAAAATACCATAGAATTTCAGCTTCCAAATACATTGTTTCCCAATTCACTAAAAAATGTAAAAGTATTCAAGTTCAGTATCTTGATTAGAAACTAAAATTTTGATATTACCTATCCTATTATCTTTACAAGAAGACTTTTTTGCCTGATGGGCCTTTATAGACTATGACCAGAATGAGCAATTCTTCCTTCCCTTTCCCTTGCCTTCACTGATTTGTTAGGGCTTC